CCTACCTACCTACCTACCTACCTACCTACCTACCTACCTACCTACCTACCTAAGCAGAAGTGTGGAAACAGAAGTGTGGAATTGAGTCATCCCGCTTCAGCTCCATAAAATCCACGATATAGGCAGTGGAAATTATCACACAGTCTCGCCCAATGGGCATACTTCCTTTCTGAGCCGTCCTTCTGGTGTTAATTTAACTCTGATCACTGGACCAGCTCTAACACATTATGCAGGTCCCCAGAATGGAATGACCAGGTCCTGTCTTAGACTTAACAGTGCAATGAGAAGTATTAATGGCCTCTTTCATTTCTTTCTATATTTGATATACATGTTACTAGCTAAAAATATTATGCCACATTTAAGACTAGCAGGTTTATTTCAGTGTGAACTTCCATGGATAAAAATCTGCTTGTTCAGACACATGAAGTATGTGTACTCCATGTACACCATGTATCTGCAGAGGTAGATTGCAATTAGATATGGGATATTTGTATTTGTACCCCTGGGGGTACAGATAGGAATATCAGCACAAAGGGTGCCTGGGAAATCCAGTCTGTCCCCCCTGTACCAGCAGTTCCAATTATTGGTTGCTGTGTGGTGCATGCGGCAGGCATAATTCTCATTATGCTAGTCACAGAAGTAGCCCACCTGGCATTTCCCCACCTCCCTACGCAGCTGATGACTCTGGTGAGGAGGCAGGATGACAAGTCTCCCATCTCATGGGATACTTGTACAGTGGTGCCTCGCACGATTGCTTCATACAACAATGAATTCACACAGCGATGGGTTTCTTTGAGGAATTTCCCCCATCGTTTAATGATGTTCTCTATGGGGGAATTTCACTTAATGATGTCCCTTTATCGCTCCTGTAAAAGTGCCGTAAACTGTTAGAAACCTGTTTTAAATGCTTGCAACCGTTAGCCCACCTCCTGAACCCTATGCAAACTTAATTTGGTGTTGTTCTGAGTCGTTGTTAATTTTTGGTGATTTTTTAAATTCTCCATTGAAAGCCTTTGAATGGTCCGTTCAAAGGCTTTCAATGGAGAAAACAAAAAATCACCAAAAATTAACGACGACTCAGAACAACACCAAATTAAGGTTGCATAGGGTTCAGGAGGAGGGCTAACAATTGCAAGCATTTAAAACAGGTTCCAAATATTGTAAGACACTTAAAAATGAGCGAAAACGGACATCAGAAAGGACTTCAAAAGCACTGAAACCGGCTTCGGACGGATAGTTCAATAGAGTTCAATGAGGGAAAAACGAAAAATCACCAAAATTTAATAACGACTCAGAACAACACCAAATTAAGTTTGCATAGGTTTCAGGAGGTGGGCTAATGATTGCAAGCATTTAAAACAGGCTTCAAACAGTTTAAAGTTATGTGAAAACATCGTTAAGTGAAACACCATTTCCCATAGGAATGCATTGAAAACCGGCTAATCCGTTCCAATCGGAACAGATTAATGCTTGCAATCATTAGCCCACCTCCTGAAACCTATGCAAACTTAATTTGGTGTTGTTCTGAGTCTTCGTTAATTTTTGGTGATTTTTTCTCTCTCTCATTGAAAAGCATTGGACGGACGGTCCAATGCTTTTCAATGAGAGAGAAAAAAATCACCAAAAATTAACGACGACTCAGAACAACACCAAATTAAGTTTGCATAGGTTTCAGGAGGTGGGCTAATGATTGCAAGCATTAATCTGTTCCGATTGGAACGGATTAGCCGGTTTTCAATGCATTCCTATGGGAAATGGTGTTTCACTTAACGATGTTTTCACATAACGATTTTTTTAATGGAACCAATTAACATCGTTAAGCGAGGCACCACTGTATTTGTATCCCTGAGGATACTAATACAAGCACCACAGGTGCCTGGAAAGTCCACTCCCTCTCGCCACCAAACTGGTAGGTCCAGTTACTGGTCACCACACAGCTAGCATCATTTCTGTCATGCCAGTCACAGAAGTAGCTCAACTGGTGTTTTCTCACCTCCCCATGCAGCCGACCAGTCTGGTGAGAAGGTGGTTGGCTGTGCAGGGAGGTGGGGAAGCACCAGCCGAGCTACTTTTGCAATTGGCACCACAAGAACGATGCTGACCCCGTATACTGCTTGGCAACCAATAATTGGGCCTGCCAGTTGGGGGGGGGGGGGAGACACCTGTACCCAGGCACCTGTAGTGCCAATATTCATATCCTCAGGAATATGAATATCCCGTGTTTAATTGCAAACCATAAAAGCTTTCATGAAAATAAATATAGTTTTAAAAGTTGCCACAATACAGTTGCTTTTGTTTTTGTTGTTGCTGAAACAGTCTAACATCCCGCATCTCTGAAAAGAGCTGGAAAAGTTTTATATAGCCAATGTATAAACCAATCATTGTTGCCTTTTAAGCATGTTTTTTGAGTTAGAGCATACACTGCTAAGTCACACACTATTAACTTGGCATTATCTTAGTTCCCAGAGCTGCTGAGATTTTTTTAATGCCTATGCTGTTTTTATTTTTATCCTTTTTTCTAAGAAATTATATTTAGTGTTCAAAAAAAGCTATGGACTAGTACAAAGCAACAATCTGCTAGAACAGTTACATTATATCAAGAAAGCCATTACAAAACCTTCAATGAAAAATATAGGAAGCTGCTGTTTTATTTGATTAGCAAATTGAATGTGAGGAGTTAAGGAGGAGGAGGAATTAGGTTAAATCTAAAATAAAAATAGAAAAACAATGCATACTTCTGGGCACTGAGTTTATGATGGTGATACAATATAAAACCTTATATATCAGGCAACCATTGTGTTTGTGGGAGGAAAGATGCTATATAGACAGATGCCATAAAACTGATATTGGCATAAGGAAGTAATGGAATTTGATTAAGTTATTCAGGATCAATGTAAAATAAGAGACTAGCATTGAACCAATACTGGAATTGTGAAGATCCACTGCAGAGGAAGTGAAACCTTACCCAGTAGAAATGTTGCATGAGCAGCTCAACAAGTGGAAGATGAACCTACTGAGAATACAGATACATAGACTCACACTATCCAAGGAAATATAAAAGCAGGCTGTGAAGGACAGAAGAGGAGATGGGGCAGAGAAAGCATCTGTATGGTTTTGTAATGGGGCAAGCATAAGGGAGAATTATACTGTGATTTGTACTGTAAAAAGATGGAATAATAGTGAAAGAAATGACAACTAGTAATAAACTGGATAAAGAAGCAGTATTTCCCCCCAATTTTATTAAAGGAAAGAAAGGATGGTGCAGCTAATAGGAAAGAAAAACAGTATAGTCTTAATCCCAGTTCCCTTTATGTTACATTTTTAACACACCTGAGTTTTCCTGTACTTTTGTAAAACTCATAAACAATCTCCTTCTGCTCCTTGTTATTATTGTTATTAAAATGATTGATAGCCATCCTTCTTCATAAGAGTTCAGTGCACATAATTGTCTATATGAAACATTAATGGCCTTTTTATTCCCATTATGCCACCTCCCCTTGGTTAATATTATGTTCTTGGCAATAATTATAAAAGCATAGACTTTGTATGTACATTTTAATGTACTTCAGTGTGTATGTGGTAGAATAAAGGACCATTTTGCACATTGTGGAGACTATAATAACATGGAAAGGGTGCATTGTTTCCATCAGGTTTGTAGCCAAGTTACACTCTATGTCTAAAAGAGAACATGTTTCCCATAGTCTAGAATTTTGTTATTATCCCAGCTAGAGTAGAGCTGTTAAATTAGTAGAATTTACAGAAGTCAGGAGTCACTTGTTCAACAACTGATCCAGTTTGCAATGGCACTTAGGTAGGAGAATTTGAACACATTTGCAGTATTTCTATAATCCATGCAACTTTTAAACTGCTGTTGCTATTGTTGTTGTTTCTATATAGGAGCAGTGCTTTTGGCCAGTATGCAAGGACTGACAGTCAATATTGATCCGATATTGTATACTTGGCTCATATACCAACCTCAGAAACGAAGCAGCAGACCTACACAGCAGGTAGGAATTATTAACGTGATTCACAGTGTGTATTTCTAAAGAAGCATGGAAGAATGTGATTGCTTGAATTACTGCAGTAACAGGCAGGAAAAGGCCCTGGCTTCTTCACTTTTTTGTGGCCCTTTTTTGTTTTGTTTTATAGAATGTTGTTCTGAGACATGATTTGGCCATGTTCACAGGAGGGAAATGAACTTCCAAAGTCTTACAGTTAATGCACAAATGAAATATTTTAACTTTGGTATGAAGACTATACCGTAATTTTCCGTGTATAAGATGCCCCCATCTATAAGATGCCCCCACGTTTCTAACCCAACATTAAGAAATCTAAGTGGAGATTAGCAAGTCTTATACACGGAAACATATGGTAATTCTTCTGTTATGCCTCGTTCTTGGTAAGATGGTATTTACCAAAACCATGTTTATAATTCAGGGCTTGATTACAGAAGCATTTGTCCCTCTCTTTGGTCGTCTGTGAAATAGGTTGGTTCACTCTTTTTTCCAGTGATTCCACAATATAATTGCTGAAGTGAACCAAACCATCCCTAAAGCAGTTAATTTCACATCTTTCTCAGCCCCTGTCAGTAGCTTCTACTTTTTTGGTGCAGGTGAGATTGCTCTGTTTTGATCTGTTTCCAGCATGTGTGATCACTGGAAAAGATTCCAAAGCAAGCCCTCCTGGCTGTCCAGGCTCCTTCTGATTGGAATTTTCAATATTGTGAAGTGGTTTAATAAGTGAGCCACTTCAGAATATCGGCAGATTGAAAACTTCTGCTTCTTGACGGAAGGGCAGAGGAAGTGATTGAAAACTTCCTCTGCTTCTTGACGGAAGGGCAGAGGAAGTGAAATTTCATTTAGTACTCTATAGACTATCACTCCTCGGTGAAGAGGAATTGAAGAACCTCTTAATGAGGGTGAAAGAGGAAAGCGCAAAAAATGGTCTGAAGCTCAACATCAAAAAACAAAAAACAAAATAAGATCATGGCCACTGGTCCCATCACCTCCTGGCAAATAGAAGGGGAAGATATGGAGGAAGTGACAAATTTTACTTTCTTGGGCTCCAGGATGGTGACAGCAGCCACAAAATTAAAAGATGCCTGCTTCTTGGGAGGAAAGTGATGAAAAACCTAGACAGCAACTTAAAAAGCAGAGACATCACCTTGCTGACAAAGGTCCACATAGTCACAGCTATAGTTTTTCCAGTAGCAATGTATGGAAGTGAGAGCTGGACCATAAAGAGGGCTGACCGCTGAAGAATTGATGCTTTGAACTGTGGTGCTGGAGGTGACTCTTGAGAGTCCCCTGGACTGCAAAGAGAACAAACCAATCCATTTTGAAGGAAATCAATCCTGAGTTCTCACTGGAAGGGCAGATCCTGAAGCTGAGGCTCCAATACTTTGGCCGTCTCATGAGAAGAGAAGACTCCTTGGAAAAGACCCTGATGTTAGGAAAGTTTGAAGGCAAGAGGAGACGGGGATGACAGAGGACGAGATGGTTGGACAGTGTCATCAAAGTGACCAACATGAATTTGAGTAAAAACTCAGGGAGGCAGTGGAAGACAGGAGGGCCTGGCGTGCTCTGATCCATGGGGTCACGAAGAGTCGGACACAACTTAACGACTAAACAACAAGACTATCACAGAGGTGCTGTATCACTCTTTTTAAAAAAGGGATAAATATTTTCTTTGGTTTCTTTTAAAGGCTAGTTAGAAAACTGCCCATGCAAACACAGGGGAAAGAGAAAGAGAGAGATCGATACTGAAATAAAATTTCAAAAGGGAAAAACTGCCTAATTTAACTAATGTTACTTTCTGTTATTTTAAAATACTTAATTTAAGAATAAATTTGAAATTGTCTAAAAACAAAATGTTGATATGTAAGACTGTTTCTTCAGCATCCCACAAATACAAGTGTTTGCACAATTGTATCACACAATTTCTGACCTTTTTGATATTAACTTGGCATAGTGGAAGAATACTGTTAAAATAATCCTGAATATATGTTTTAAATATAATTTTAGTTAGAAGGTTCATGGTTTCAAAATATAATATATTGTTTGAAATATGTGCTTTCTTTACTTCGCATGAAACCCTGGCTACATTGTAGCGGCTGTTACATATTTGAGTTAGGATCTATGTAGTTCCTGTTGTGACTGTGTGGTTAGTGCTTGAGGGGCAAAAGAGGATGTTTTTCCATATCCACATTTGGCTTCTGCATGTATTTGAACTTTTAAAAAATGTTTGAATAGTGAACAATAGTGGACATTCAGTAGGAAAAAAACTGAAATCTATGGAAAAATACATGCTTGCATACATCTATATAACACATTCTGACTTTGTTCATGGGTCACTAGTAAAATGTAGTGTTTATTTGTCCTTCTCTTTAGAAACAGTTTTAATCCCAGTTAGATATAGTGTATAACTAAGTCTACTTAATTAATATATTATTAATTACAGAACAATAGAAATATCAGGAAGGTGTGTGCAGTGGCTTGGGTTATAAAATAATATGAAGAATCATGTGAGGTGTAAGTCCAAAAATATTTAGAAAGCAACAGTTGGCCACCCAATTTAGTCCAATAAATTGCTCACCCCAGTATGTTTCTCATCCCTAGTCTTGTCTAATAGATTAAAACAAATAGATAGTTCAGTAGATCATCCGGTACTCAGTTCAACAGATAGTCCAGTATATTAGTCTAGTCTAATAAACTGCCCATCCCTAACCTAGTCCAGTCTGTTGCCCACAGTTGCCCACCCCAGTTATGTGTACTCTGAAACATCTGAAAGGACACAGTTGTTCACCTCTGATCTAGTCCAATAGGTTTTAACAGTTCTTTCAGTTGGTTTAACTTGAATTATTTTAGTGCTTTGAAAGAGGTTTTCATTTAAGCCGCATGTGCATTAAAACAGCAGAGTAGTATTTTTTGATATGCTCTCATCTAGTTCATGCCTGAAGGTCACATACATGCTTTTGCCCCTTCTCCACGGTTCATTGTCAGAATGATCCTCCAAGATAGCTTAAGCTGAGATATGCAAAATGTAGTGTTTATTTGTCCTTCTCTTTAGAAACAGTTTTAATCCCAGTTAGATATATAACTAAGTCTACTTAATTAATATATTATTAATTACAGATGACCCATTGATGACCCATTGAAGTTAATGGCCAGGTAGAGACCGTATTTCTCTCCTAGCCAGCACATAAAAGTGACTTACTTACCACTACAGTGGTACCTCAGTTTATGAACGTCCCTGCTTACGACCATTTGGAGTTACAACCAGCTCTGGCCGCAAAATTTTTCTTCTACTTGCAACCGGAGTTTCCACTTAACGACCAGAAAAAGGCAGGGGGAAAAGGCAGGAAATTCAAATTGCTAACTGTAGGTGGTGACGAGACTGCTTCTTTGTAGCTCTTTCGCCCCAGCAGTTAGAGTGTGTGTGTTGTCGTCAGAGGCTTGGGATTGCCTCCTTCTGCTTCTGAGAGCATATGTGTGTGCTTGCAGGGAGGCTTTGGGCTGCCTTGTAAGGTAAGGTGCTGTTTTCTGCTTTTTAAAAACTGTTCTGGGTGTTTTTGCAGCATGGTTTTGAGCTGGGGGCTTTATGTTTCTGTGCTGTTATGGGTCTTGAGGGATTGGTTTTTCCCTCATTTCCAATGGGTCTTGGGGGTTTGGTTGCTTTTTGGGGGGGTTCCCCATTTCCAATGGGTCCTGCATGCTTCCCTTGTGTTTTCCTTTGTTTCCTTTGCATTTCCGAGCTGCCCTCTTTGTTCTCTGTGCATTTCTGATCTGCTCTGTTTGTTTTCTGTGCATTTCCCATGGATCTTGCACACTTGATTGTCCCCCCCCTTTTTTTTTTTTGGCTGGAAGGGACTAACTGCGTCTCCAGTGAGTCTTGCAGTGATTTTTTGGTGTGTGTGTGATTTTTTTTCTTCGGCCAGAACAGATTAATTGCATTTCAGTACATTCCTATGGGAAATGGTGCTTCGACTTACGACCATTTCAAGTTACGTCCATCTTCTGGAATGGATTATGGTTGTAAGTGGAGGCACCACTGTACATCTGCCTCATTTTAATATATCTGGACATAAGTTAATATGTACATCTGCCTCATTTTAATATATCTGGACATAAATTAATATTTTAGCTTTCCTTCCACCTGTACATCGAGAACTTTAAAGTTTGAGTAACTTAAATTAGGGCTTTAAAATAATTAATATTTATTCAGGGGAAGTCCAAATTGAAATTCCTTGATTAAAATACACTTTTGAAGATCAATCTAGTATCTCTTTACATTTTGGTTAATTTTCCAAGAAGTGCATGTGGTTGTCACCACATAAATCACATGGACTTTAACAAATATAAAACCTCTTCCCCAGCTTTGAATATATATCCCATAATGCTTGCTTTGTGGCTTTATATGTTTTCTACAGTAATGTACTAAAATGGTTAAGCCGTGTAATTATTGTACATTCTATACAATCCTGTGACAGTTTAAATAAAAAGAAAATAAGCATGTGTCCATATATCTTGTACTGTTACCATCTGGTCCACATCAAGACAATATTGGCATTTAAATTGGGAGGTGGAGGAGATAACAGCAATGTTCTATATTTGTTAAACATACTTGAAATACAGTTTTCTTTTGGAGATTACTGAGATAAAAAAAATCCTCTTTGCACAGTGCATAAAGAGGAGTCACATGTAGAACAAGACTGTAGAGTTGTGCCTCTGACCTGCCCTAGGACTGAAAGCATCATCCTATTACTTCTCTATTATATTTATTATTAAATTTAATCCCAAATCTCAGTCTGAATCTTGTGGCAATGTCATGATGAGCTGCAAATGGAAGGTCCATGGTTTACTCAGTTCAGCTGCTCTTTTTGCAAGAAGCCAAGCCGGAGTGATTGGGCAGCATACATCAGCATACTGTGATGATTGAACTTTGTTTGCCTATTTGTATGATGCTAGTCCTTAGTAGAAAAAAATGTTTCCAATAATTATGTTGAAAT